TTTGTTGGAAAGCTTTACTGCCACTGAAGAAAGAAATTATACAATGGCAGTTGCAGATGTAATAGCTGCTGCTTCCACAGTGACGGCTATCATCACTGTGGCTGTGGAGAAACTGGAATTTATAGTCCTACACATGAAAATTTGTTTTCCAGAGTCAGTAAATAGTCTGTTTCAGGCGGTATTAGAGCAGCTGCTATTCATGCTGCAGGCTTTGCTGCACCTATTAATCTGCTTTTCCAAAAATGAGATCACAGTTTGTACTCTATACAGTGGCAGTTGTAAGATGTCAGTGTTGATACCAAACGAGGTTATACTGATATTAAACTCATGCTTTACCTTCAATGATCCCCCACTTTGTTTTACGGCCCAGCACTTTGTTTCCATTCACCTGATGTTCTTTGTCAGTCCCAACCACAGCAAAGGGAATGTTTTCCTGGACACATGATGAGTCAGGCTCATTTGAAGAATGATTCATCCATTATAGCACACAAGAACAAATGTATCAGCACACTGTGACCAAATAACTGCAGGTGCTAATCTCTGCACAGCCGGAACAATTAGCATACATTATACTGTAGTATAATACTGTAGTGCAACAGAAGGTTACATCACATCAAATCACGAGTTTTTCAACTATGGCATTTGATTTTTAACTATAACATTTTGCAGTTTGATTTTTCCCGACTTCTGGGAGTAACTTGATTTTATAAATGCTCATGTAAACAAAACAGTTACCTTTCTCACATTTTAGTTCAGGAATTGAGAGACATGTGAATATGACCACTTCCCATTGAGGGTCATTGCACTCTGGGTCACCTGTCACTTGAGATTTCAAGTTTCACACAACCTATCTCTAGTATGAAGACAAGCAATAAACCAGATGAATTCTAAATAACAGTAGTGGAGTCATTACCCTAATCCTGTTGTTGAGAATATGATCCTCTGGGTCTTCATCATATTCTTTCTGGGGGTAAACATGAATCCCATTGGCTACCAAGTCGTGTCTTATCTGTCAAAAGGTCAAAAGTTGCACACAGGTTAAACAGGTCAGGTTAACTGAAGGAAGGCTATCGTTTAATTTTCCAGGTGATGCAATGACCAGAATTAGCAACATTGTGACAGCTAGGTGTTTTCCTGCCCTTGAAATGTGCTTTGCTCATCTGTGTGGTATTTGTGCCCAGTGAAGAGCACAGTGTGCAAAGGTGAAAGGAACGGAACAAACACGTGGGAGATTCAGTTTCTAGTGCAATGTCAGTCTGCTGCCACTTTGCATTTGGTGCACTTGACTTGTGCAGAAAAAGTAGAGCCTCATGTGATAAAGCAGGAACTCTGAAGGCTGAGCATATATGCATGATACATCCTCTAGAGGAAAAGAGAGTGAAAGGAAACAGGCTTTAGTTCCACATGTGTTCCCTCACCCTCTCTTTGAACTCCTGCCTTTCCTCAATGGTGAGTGTGTCAGCTTTGGCGATGACAGGTACGATGCTTACTATCTTCCCCAACCTCTTCATGAACTCAACATCGATTGGGCGTAACCTGGAAACAGACACAGATCTCTGGTCAGTTTCGACAACGATGGAGGTTAGAATAGTAATACCGTTGAAGACTATGGACACATAGCCAATACTTAGAGAATATTTGCTATTAGATTATATTCGTTGTTGTTTTTGGTCTTTTCATGGGATCTACTGATATTGATTTAAAACGAAATACCTCTTTTAAGCTTCTGGAGCTTCTAAAGTGTTTAAGAGCAATTTCAGCATGATGCTGAAGCCAGGAGTGAATAAGTACTGACCTGTGTCCAGTGGCAGGAAGGAAGTAGATGCAGCAGTGGACTCTGCTGTCAGGTATTCTCCTCTTGCGGTTGACACACAGTTCCTCTCTCAAATACTTCTCATACTGCTCATTGATGTACTTCACTATGGGCTCCCAGCTGGAGAGAGAACAGAGGGTAGAAAAGACTTGATCAGTGACTGGAACATTCTTTACACTGGCATCATTCTATGTTTTTCTTATTATCAACAAATCCCATGAAAAGACCAAAGCCAACTGAAGAATACATTTCTGAAGAAACTGTGTGTGTGCTTGGATGTGCCGCCACTGCTACAGCTACTGCTTTTGATTATGAGAGCACAGTACTACCCATCACCTGTGACAACTCCCAGAAATAAACTCTGTTATTAAGAAGAAATGCAATTGCCTATAAACTAAAATTATATGAAAGCAGAAGACTATGTTCAGGAAACCGCCAACTCTTATCTGAACAGAGCTGTCAGGAAATGTTAACGGAAACTGAACACTGAGCCTGCTGATTATGAGATTGCCCTACTAAAGACAGAGCCAACAAAACCTACAGAAAAAGCCATGTCTCTAGCTTTTAGCTGTGTCGGCAGTTCTATTTGACCATAAGAATATATTATGTGGATAGATCATGTTAAAATTAAAGGAGGATTATATTTGCAGTTCTTATGCCAGTGAAGAACAAAAACAGGTACAAGCAATAATGCCATATGCAATTATAAAATGGCTAAGTTTGGAAAGATACAAAGTAAAAAACCACAGAAAGAAGCTTTAATCAGTAAACGATTAATTTGGGATTGAGATTATTTCAATTCAAATTGCTACATAGATTACATTACTCTAAACCTAAACTTCATAAGATGTTCAATTAAGATTCCCCTGTATGTGATAGATGTTGGACAGCAGGCACTGCTTTTTCTCAGTCTTTTTGGTACTGTCAAGCTCTTTTTCATTTCGGGTCTAATATATTTAATTGGTTCTCAGGCTTAATGAAATACTCTATGTTGCCAACAATGAGTGGAAACTTGACAAAGTGTTGGCGATCACATAAGGGCAAATGTAGACCTGTGTGAACCAGCCAGTCTTGTGGAACCTGAAAGATGTGTGCATTTGTGTCAGCCAACCATTTTGACTAGTACTGTATATAAAACTTTGATAACTCAACTCTGATTAGTTGAAACTCGACTCAGACTTGAACACTGAAAGACTCGAGACTCAACCAGGACTTGAATATTGAGGGCTTGAGAGTCAACTTAAACACTGGGAATTTGAATGCAACACTGCTGAGTACTTTGCTGAAAGGATATATACCAAAATGTGTAATTTCCTACCTGGATAATCTGACGTGGATATAAAACCCCTTAAATTAAAAATTACTCATCTCTCTCCAACATAACAGAGTACATACAACACATGCCCCCATTTCCTAATTCTTTATGACTGCACCGACTGCAAGTACTGTAAATAAACATTAAACTTCATTAATTTATGGTTTGGATTTGTTTATTTGCAATAAATTTTGTAGCCGGTCCTGGAAAGCACGACCTGCTTTCCTGCCTCCTTCTGTCCTTTCTCATCTCCACCCTCCCGCCACTCACCAGTTCTCATTGTTGATCTGATCTCCAAATCCCGGAGTGTCGATCACTGTCAGCTTCATCTTCACCCCCTTCTCCTCAATCACTAGACAGAGAAAGACCGAGAGGGAGGGGTTACATGTGTGGTGGTCTACAGCTATCTGGCATGGCTGAGTGATTTACTGTTAAAAAAAAACAATCCAGAAAAACCTCCAGCTCACATGTCAAATTTGTGGACAGTGTGCACCCATAAAAGAACTTTTGCAATTGAATGTACAGTGGTGTGAAAAAGTGTTTGCCCCCTTACTGATTTCTTATCTTTTTGCATGTTTGTCACACTGTAATGTTTCAGATCGTCAAACAAATTTATATATTAGTCAAAGATAACACAAGTAAACACATCATGCAGGTTTTAAATGAAGGTTTTTATTATTAAGGGAAAACAAAATCCAAAACTATATAGCCCTGTGTGAAAAAGTGTTTGCCCCCTAAACCTAATAACTGGTTGGGCCACCCTTAGCAGCAACAACTGCAATCAAGCATTTTAAAAGGTTATAAAGCCATTTCTAAAGCTTTGGGACTGCAGCGAACCACAGTGAGAGCCATTATCCACAAATGGCGAAAACATGGAACAGTGGAGAACCTTCCCAGGAGTGGCCGGCCGACCAAAATTACCCCAAGAGCGCAGCGACAACTCATCCAAGAGGTCACAAAAGACCCCACAACAACATCCAAAGAACTGCAGGCCTCACTTGCCTCAGTTAAGGTGAGTGTTCATGACTCCACCATAAGAAAGAGACTGGGCAAAAATGGTTTGCATGGCAGAGTTCCAAGACGAAAACCACTGCTGAGCAAAAAGAACATAAAGGCTCGTCTCAGTTTTGCCAGAAAACATCTTGATGATCCCCAAGACTTTTGGGATAATACTCTGTGGACAGACGAGACAAAAGTTGAACTTTTTGGAAGGTGTGTGTCCCATTATGTGTGGCGTAAAAGTAACACCGCATTTCAGAAAAAGAACATCATACCAACAGTAAAATATGGTGGTGGTAGTGTGATGGTCTGGGGCTGTTTTGCTGCTTCAGGCCCTGGAAGACTTGCTGTGATAAGTGGAACCATGAATTCTGCTGTGTACCAACATATCCTGAAGGAGAATGTCCGGCCATCTGTTTGTGGCCTCAAGCTGAAGCGAACTTGGGTTCTGCAGCAGGACAATGATCCAAAGCACACCAGCAAGTCCACTTCTGAATGGCTGAAGAAAAACAAAATGAAGACTTTGGAGTGGCCTAGTCAAAGTCCTGACCTGAATCCAATTGAGATGCTGTGGCATGACCTTAAAAAGGCGGTTCATGCCCGAAAACCCTCCAATGTGGCTGACTTACAACAATTCTGCCAAGATGAGTGGGCCAAAATTCCTCCACAGCGCTGTAAAAGACTCATGGCAAGTTATCGAAAATGCTTGATTGCAGTTGTTGCTGCTAAGGGTGGCCCAACCAGTTATTAGGTTTAGGGGGCAAACACTTGTTCACACAGGGCTATATAGTTTTGGATTTTGTTTTCCCTTAATAATAAAAACCTTCATTTAAAAACTGCATGATGTGTTTACTTGTGTTATCTTTGACTAATATATAAATTTGTTTGACGATCTGAAACATTACAGTGTGACAAACATGCAAAAAGATAAGAAATCAGTAAGGGGGCAAACACTTTTTCACACCACTGTAGATGGTTATTGTTATAATGGCTGAGACAGATTTCACAGTAGAGAAATGGGAGAAGCCATTTAAGAAAATTTCATTTTAATTAGAAATTATGTAAAATAATTATATTACATCTTACATTTTCAAAAATGCATCACAGACTAGGAGAATATATGCACTATACTGTATATGACAATAACACAGAAGCAATAAGAGGAAGGGGGTTAGATAGATATATAGATACTTTATTACAGACTCAAGGTCCAGATGTATAAATGCTAAAAACAATCAGCAATCAGGGGATTTAAGGGGAATTCAAAATAAAGACAGACTGCAGCAGAGACACTAAACTGTATGCACTAATTTAAAAAAAAAAAGTTTGCGCCAAGTGTTTCTCAATTAATCATGTGTCAGTAGTCAGTGATGTGTACTGAAGGGAGTGGAAGCAGTTTGTAATGCACAGCGTCATGTATTCTAGGACACCTGTAGGGCTGAGGCTGGTTTGAATGGTACTTATTACCGTTATTTTCAGGATAATATTTTGATTTTGTTTCATCTATTTGTCCTTCTGTTTGTTTTAATTTCATCCTACTACTCTGATCCCCAATTTTTCGCATATTTCTTTGACCATGCTGATATAAAAATTTGCCTTTTCATCACACCATGTAAGCAGAGCAGAGCTCACACACATGCTGTCGACTCTTTCTTTCTTGAGATGTTGCAAAAAGTCATTGCCGCTCTTTGGGGCTTTGTTTTTTTTTTTGAAAAAGAAAAAACAGGCATCAAATGTGACCCAGTACAGCGTTGTGGCTCAGTCACATGTTTCTAATGAGTGCGAGCCTCCCACGATGTGCAAGTGAGATGTTATTGTACTTTCAGAGTAGACAAAGTAAGTTTTATGCTTTTGTCCAGTGGTGCTACAACAGCCTTCACCTTTTGTTAATGCAGCATTATTAGATTGTTGTATGTAATAGTTTGGAACCACAACCTGATCCAGTATTTGGATCAAGAAGCTCCTGAAAAATACAATGTGATTAATTTCAGATTCAATATGTCAGAACATTTATCATTTGTCATTAATGAACATTTGCTGAAGGTAAATATAAGTCAGGAAGGGCATCCGGCGTAAAACACGTGCCAAATGTCAACATGCAAGTCGTCACTGTGACGATTCGCTGTGGCGATCCCTAAACAGGAAAAGCTGAAAGTGACTTTACTGAAGGTAAATAAAAGTATCAGATCGGAATCAGTATTGAAAAATACTTATTAAAGGAAACTGATCGGAATTGGGGCCAAAAAAAAAAAAAAAAAACTGGACCAGAACATCTCTAGCTTTTAGTAAACCTGTTTTTAGTTAAGGTTTTAGAAAGGATCTCAGATTTTCTTTGACACTTACATTTAATCCACAATGCAGTTTACAAGTGCTGGATGTACCAGGTTGTGCAACTACCATTAACTCCCAAATTCTGCAGTGAGGCAGTACAGTCAGCATGAGAAATACTGTGGCGTTAGTTAACTCTAAAAGGGAATTTTCTACTATAAAGATTTTTCCAGAGAGCTTGGTAGCTGGTGGTGATGAGGCTGTAAATGTATTTCAGTTTGTCCCTAAATTTATAGTAGTAAATATAAAAACTTGCTGGAAAGGTCTGTGTGAGAGAAGGAGTGTAGAATGACCATTTAGTGCATGGTAAACAGCTAAATTCTGTTCTGCTTCACATAGGATTAGAAATTTAAAGAGGAAAACAGATCTAAAATCCAGTTTCTTTCTGACAGGCCTGACATGTGGAGGGAAGCCTCACTTCCTTACCGCCTCATCATACCACCTTGATTTCACAAACTTGCTCTTTGACCAGAAGTAACAGACCTAAAGTTGTTGTCCATTTATTACTGTGGTCCAGAGAGAGCATGCTTCCTAATGATTTCTGCAAACCCTTTGACCTTTTGTCTGTGGGCCACAGTCAGATCTGGATTCCCCACTGAACAACACATCTAAAAACATAATGTCCAGGTTTCCACATAATCAGTTTTGTATTTTTATTGAGATTTAAAGACCTCTGATCTCTGATCGACCCTCCATCTAGCGTCACCATCAAGTCACAATTTCCACTTGTGCGGTAATATGACCCCCTCTTTGAACCGCCACCTTATTGTGGTGGAGGGGTTTGAGTACCCGAGTGATCCTAGGAGCTATGTTGTCGGGGGCTATATGTCCCTGGTAGGGTCTCCCAAGGCAAACAGGTCCTGGGTGACGGGTCAGACTAAGAGTGGTTCAAAAGCCCTTTATGAATAGATTAAAATCAAGGACCGTGACGTTGCCCGGCATGGCGCAGCCAGGGCCCCACCCTGGAGCCAGGCCAGGGCTTGGGGCTTGAATGCGGGTGGCCGGGCCTCCCCTCACGAGGCCCGGCCGGGTTTAGCCCGAACGAGCGACGTGGGGACGTCCTCCCGTGGGCCCAGCACCTGCAGGAGGATCCGTAAGGGGCCGGTGCATAGTGGATTGGGGAGCAGTCGAAGGCAGGGGGCCCAACGA